AAAAGTGTGGAATTTTTTATTTTGGTAGCACGTACATTCAAACCACATTTCTCCGCAATGAGTTATATTTGCGGAATTCAACTTTTTGATTTATCTCCAAGCTACAGAAAAATTTAGTCATGCTCTTCTTGTTCTAAAAAATTTATCCTACTTTTACTTCCTCAGGCAATGCATCGTGCCTAAGTATTTTACATGGTGGAGATTCTTTCAGCTTTCTCTTCACTCTTTTTCTTGATTTCTTAAAAGCAGTAGAAGTTTCAGCAATTTCTTCAATTGTATCTAATGTTATTGGTATAAATTCTGTATTTTCTTCATCTTCGTTGTTGCTTATCATTGCAGAAGGTAACAAAAAACTTTGTTGGATTATGTGTTGGTTGTCTATTTGCATTATTAGTTGTCTTTCTTCTTCTTGGGCCTCAACAAACTGGTATGAATTTATTGTAGCGGTAGTTAATTCTTGTAGCATTCCATATTCTGAAGCAGTTGTAATGTTAGAAGGTTGTCGCTTGTTGTCTACTTCCATTATTGGCTATTCTAGTTCATGTTGATAATCAGCAAATTATTCTGAATCTATTGTATGTGCAAGAGATGATTTGAATATTATAGATTCTGAAGCAGGTACACTGTCAGAAATGAGTTATATTTTTTCGATGACAAAATGGCAATTCTTGAAGGCTGAATCAGTTGTTAGCAAATGTATACAGGTTCTGAGTTCTTCATCTGAAGTTACAAGCATCCCTTTACTTGTATTTAGTTTGATATCAAACCATATTTTTAATAAATATTTGGTTGAATCAAAATCTGTAACTTCACTAATTTTCTTTAAGAAAGTATTGAATGATACTTGTTTATTAAGCAGAACAAATTTTGTATCATGATTCAAGTATTTGTAATCAAAAGTCCACCTCCCATTGAAAGTAATAACAAGGAAAATCGAACTCATCATGCAAAATGAAACCTTCATCATGTTTAGTGTCAAGTATTAGGAAAATGAACAAAATAACTTCATCAAAAGTTTTAGCAAATGAACTAAATAACTTCAGCATGCATTAAATAAAATTCATTAGAAAATTACATACTGCAGGACAAAAATTTCAGCACGTTCGTCCTGAAGCTTTAGCAAATGAACTAAACAACTTCAGTATTTTTCCGCTAAAGTTTCGGAAAAAGCTCATGACAAAACTGTTGAATGAACTAAATAACCTCTGCATATTTTGGTATGAAGTTTTAGCAAATGAACTAAATAACTTCAGCATGCATTAAATAAAATTCATTAGAAAATTACATACTGCAGGACAAAAATTTCAGCACGTTCGTCCTGAAGTTTTAGCAAATGAACTAAACAACTTCAGTATTTTTCCGCTGAAGTTTCGGAAAAAGCTCATGACAAAACTGTTGAATGAACTAAATAACCTCAGCATATTTTGGTATGAAATTTTAGAAAATGAACTAAATAACTTCAGCATGCATTAAATAAAATTCAATAGAAAATTACATACTGCAGGACAAAAACTTCAGCACGTTCGTCCTAAAGTTTTACCAAATAAACTAAACAACTTCAGCATTTTTTCGCTGAAGTTTCGGAAAAAGATCATGACAAAACTATTGAATGAACTAAATAACCTCAACATATTTTGGTACGAAGTTTTAGACAACAACAACAACAACAACAACCCAGTAAAATCTCACTAATGGGATCTGGGGAGGATAGTGTGTACGCAGACCTTACCCCTACCCCGAAGGAGTAGAGAGGCTGTTTCCGAAAGACGTTCGGCTCAAAAAAATAAAAAGACAAAATGACAAATAGGAGACAATATTAGTATCACAACAACAATCATATGATAAATAGGAACACCATGAAATCCAGAAGAAAGATGCAAAGCAAAGGGAGACAATATTAGTAAATATTAGTATCACCACAACAGGCATAAGAAAAATAGGAACACCATGAAATCTAGAAGAAGGATGCAAAGCAAAAGCGATAGCTAGTAAATAGGACATGCACTGAAAAGCGAAATAGTAAGCCACAACATTGCCACTAGCTATCTTAGACAAAAACCCTACATGACTAGTCCCACAATGGTACGAAGTAAGGCACGACTCAACTACCTCCTAACCTACAACCCTAATACTCGACCTCCACATCTTCATATCAAGTGTCATGTCCTCAAAAATCTGGAGCATCGCCATATCCTGCCTGATCACCTCTCCCCAATACTTCTTAAGCCGCCCTCTACCTCTTTTCGTGCCATCCACAACCATCTGCTCACACCTTCGTACCGGAGCATCTGGGCTTCTCCTCTGAACATATCCGAACCATCTAAGCCTCGTTTCCCGCATCTTGTCATCAATGAGAGCCACATGCACCTTCTCCCGGATATCATTATTCCTAATTTTATCTATCCTAGTATGCATTAAATAACTAAATAAACTATCTATCCTGGTACGAAATTTTAGAAAATGAACTAAATAACTTCAGCATGTATTAAATAAAATTTATTAGAAAATTACATACTACAGGACTAAAACTTCAGCACGTTCGTCCTGAAATTTTAGCAAATGAACTAAACAATTTCAGCATTTCTCCGCTGAAGTTTCGGAAAAAGCTCATGACAAAACTGTTGAATGAACTAAATAACCTCAGCATATTTTGATATGAAATTTTAGAAAATGAACTAAATAACTTCAGGATGTATTACATAAAATTCATTAGAAAATTACATACTGCAGGATAAAAACCTCAACACGTTCGTCCTGAAGTTTTAGCAAATGAACTAAACAACTTCAGCATTTCTCTGCTGAAGTTTCGGAAAAAGCTCATGACAAATCTGTAATTTTTTCCATAATACTACAAAACTTCAGCATTGTTGGTATGAAATTTTAGCAAATGAACTAATTAACTTCAGCATCCATTATCATGAATTTTTAGTTTCAGCGTGAAACAACTTCACGCTAAATTAGGTTTAACGTGAAAAATCTTCATGCTACAGTAGCATGAAATTTTAGCTTGTATTTGATTGAAATTTTTGAATTCAATGTGAAACAACTTTATTCTATATCTTTCATACAAAGTTTTTGAAGATCTATAAGTGAAAATTTCATGTTTCATCTATCAAACAACTTCATGCAAGTGTGATTAAATTAGCATAAGTGAAAAAATCTATATGCGATGATAGAATTAAAACTTAAAAAGCATGATGAATTATGAAAATAATTGCAGAAACATATATCATGAAGATCAATCAGTTTCAAAGACTAATTTGAATTCTGAAAATGAATTGCAATACTTACAATGTATTTTGTAATTTTGAATTCTAAATTTAAATCTGGTTCAACTTTCTGGTTATGACAGAGATCGTGATTATGGCAGATGTGAGAAGAAATCTGAGGAGGGACGGAGTGATGGAGGAGAACGGTAAAGCGATTAATGCGTGATTCATATTTTATATCTTTTGTTAGGGGTATAATTGTCATATTATTACGAATTTTTTGTCAGCTGGCTATCAAATCAATAATTTTTAAAAATAGGGTACATGTTAAAAGGTGACACAAATATAGGGTACGGCTGCAAATCCCCCGAATTTTTCCAACTTGAGTCCAAATAAAAGTTCCAGTTTGAAAGTTTTGATGGGCATGGGCTTGGACATCATTGGGCTCTCAAAGCAAATTAGGCCATAAAACTTTGGGCAAGTTACATATTTGGTCAGATAGCCAAAATAATTGTATTTGATAGCTAAATAATATATATATATATTTCTGCCTATTATTTTTGGGAGCGTCTGTACTAGTAGTTTTTTCTAAAACTTTGTCGAACTAGGAATTTTAAGCCTCGAAAAAATTGCACATTTATCAATTTGGATCATTGCTGATATGCAACTTACATTGGTCACTGTATTTGTGACCATAAATTAAAAGAAAAATCTTCTTACTTTCAAAGTAGAAATTGAAACTCAAGTGGAGAGGTTTATCACAATTGTATAGTGCTCGCATAATCTATCAAGCTACTCTTAACATCTGCTTTGCTATTCCCAGTTTCATTCTTTTATGAGTGTAGTGTTTAGATCATCTTGCGCACGTTTTTACTAATTTCATGGGTTACCTGCTATATTAGTACATGTATCGCTCTGTTCAATGCTTGAATAAATGAGAAAAAATCGCTTAATATTTTTGCTTCAACAGGTATTTAAACACAAAATATTATGATTCTCAACCCACTTCATTAACTACTAATAGCATGTTTGACCAAACTTTTAAAATCAGCTTATTTTGAAAAGTATTTTTGGTGATAAACAGTTTGTGTTTGGCTAATTAATTTAAAAAATATTTTTAAGCAGTAATTAGTATTTGACCAAGCTTTTAAAAACTGTTTGTGTATTTTTCTCAAAATACTTCTCAGAAAAGTGCTTTTGGAGAGAAACTATTTTTTTCTTCTCAAAAACTGTTTTTGCTTCTCCTCAAAAGCTCTTTTTTTTTTCCTTCTAAAAGCTTGATCAAACACCTCAATTTTTTGACCAAAAAAAGTATTTTTCGCCACCAAAAAAAAAAATTGACCAAATAGGCTGTAAGACTCATCCTAGGTGCTTTTCGCTGTTTCCAATTTTATTTGTATGTGTTTGTGTACAATGTGATATAGGTCTACCTATTTCGACTGTTAAATACTCTTTTTTCTTTTTCAATTTTAATTTTGAATTTTTTTACTTCAACTAATTATTATCCAAACGACATCATACACAAGCTCAACTTTTTTTTTTGTTTTTGTTTTTTATTTTGTGTTACTTAACTCTTTAAGAATTAACATATAATTTGGAAATATTTTGGTATTCTTAAGAAAAATAAAATGAAAAGAAAATAATGTGGCTTTGGCAACAACCGACCTACTAATAATATAGGCAAGCATCCTGTCCAAGTAAATAATATGTCAGGCAGGTATATGGTCAGCGGTCCAATCGCTTGCTCCCCAAGTCTAAGCTGCTTTAGCGCTTTATATAAGCCTTTTTCTTCAGTTTTCCTCTCTTGCCCTCATCCTTTTCTCTCTCTCTCTCTCTCTCTCTCTCAACTTGAGAGAAAATCCTCAATACAGCCGAAGTAGCCGAGTCCGGAGAATCACTAAAGAATATCAAAACCTGTATTTCGATCCGGTTTTCTCGAATCAGGTATTTAAGGATTTCTTCAATACTTAGGGCTTGAAAAAAATATATACTTATTAGGGCTTGAAATTGAACCTTAGAATTCCTTGTTAAGTTTTTGTATTCTGAATTGAAATTGTTCCAAGTACGATTTAATTCATTTTCTGAGCATTTTTCTCTACTTTTCAGTTGAATTGATTCGATTTTGGGCAGTAGCAATCTGTCGTTGGATAGGGATATTGGTTATTTCCAAATTTTAAGTCAGAATATGAGCTTTTCATCTGCACAAAACAATAGAAGGAATAACAACAGTAATCGTCCCAGAAACACTCCTGTTCAAAGTGCTCGACGTGAGTGGGTACCTCGGGGATCCACGGCCACCACCACTGTTTCAGCTGCCCCTGTCACCACCACGGTAATTACCACTGTTGTGAGCCCCGTGTTCAATCTTAATGGCTCAAGTTCAGCTGGAAATGGAAGAGAAAAGGATAATGTGTCAGTTGCACTCGTTAATCATCGAAATCAGACATATGTGGGACCCAATTACGATAAGGGGCCGGCTTATGCGAGGAGAGAGAGGGGAAGGGACAGGGAGAACCACAATCATCAGGAGATCAGGGTGGAGAGGGCGGTCAATGGGAAGATTAATCAGGGCGAACACAAATGGTTGAAGGACCCTAATTTGCCTCAACTTGTGCAAGAAATTCAGGAGAAGCTGTTGAAGGGAAACATTGAGTGCATGATTTGCTATGATATGGTGCGGAGGTCTGCCCCTGTTTGGTCATGTTCCAGCTGTTACTCCATTTTCCATCTTAATTGTATCAAAAAATGGGCCCGAGCTCCCACTTCTGTTGACACGTCTGCGGAGAAGAATCAGGGATTTAATTGGCGCTGTCCAGGCTGTCAATCAGTGCAGCTCACTTCATCCAAGGAGATCCGATATATTTGCTTTTGTGGGAAGAGGCAAGATCCTCCGTCAGATTTGTACTTGACCCCGCATTCATGTGGAGAGCCCTGTGGCAAGAAACTTGAGAAGGAGCTTCCAGGGCATGATCTGAGTGAAGAGGATCTGTGCCCTCACGTTTGTGTCCTACAATGCCATCCTGGTCCTTGTCCACCTTGTAAGGCATTTGCTCCAGCTAGAAGTTGCCCCTGCGGGAAGGAAGTAATTACCACTCGGTGCTCTGATCGCAAGTCCGTTCTTACCTGCGGACAGCAGTGTGGTAAGCTTCTTGACTGTGGGCGTCATCGGTGTGAACAGACTTGCCATGTTGGTCCTTGTGGCCATTGTCAAGTTATTGTGAATGCCTATTGCTTCTGTAAGAAGAAAACAGAGGTTGTTCTTTGTGGAGACATGGGTGTGAAAGGAGATATCAAGATCGAGGACGGCGTCTTTTCATGCAGTTCAGCTTGTGGAAGGAAGCTTAGCTGCGGAAACCACGTCTGTCTTGAGCTCTGCCATCCAGGGCCATGTGGGGATTGTGCCTTGTTGCCAAGCAAGGTCAAGACATGCTGCTGCGGTAAAACCAGCTTGGAAGACGAAAGAGACAGTTGTTTAGATCCAATTCCAACCTGTTCCAAGGTCTGTGGTAAAAGCCTTAGGTGTGGGGTACATCGCTGTCAAGCGGTGTGTCATTCTGGTGACTGTGCACCATGTCTTGTTCCTGTCACTCAAAGATGCCGCTGTGGGTCAACTTCTCGAACAGTGGAGTGTTACAAAACGCAGGCAGAAGATGAGAAGTTCACTTGTGATAGACCTTGCGGGCAAAAGAAGAACTGTGGAAGGCACCGTTGCAGTGAGCGATGTTGCCCTCTTTCTAATCCAAAAAATTCTGTCACAGGTGGTTGGAATCCTCATTTTTGTTCAATGCCGTGTGAGAAGAAGCTTAGATGTGGGCAGCATTCTTGCGAGTCACTTTGTCACAGTGGTCACTGCCCTCCCTGCCTTGAGACAATTTTCACCGATTTGACTTGTGCTTGTGGGAGAACGTCAATTCCTCCTCCGCTACCTTGTGGAACACCTTCTCCTTCGTGTCAGTTACCATGCTCGGTTCCTCAGCCTTGTGGTCATCCACCTACTCACAGCTGCCATTTTGGAGACTGTCTGCCATGTGCTGTTCCTGTAGCAAAGGAATGTGTAGGCGGACATGTAATTTTGAGGAATATACCTTGTGGATCAAAAGACATCAGATGTAACAAGCTTTGCGGGAAGACCAGGCAGTGTGGCTTGCATGCATGTGCTAGAACTTGTCATTCATCACCATGTGACTTTTCTGCTGGCCCCAGCAACGGCTCCAGAGCCTCTTGTGGGCAGACATGTGGTGCTCCTAGA